CCTCCGTCGTTGGTCTGCTATCTTCTCTTGATTGTCTCGGATGAAGGCATTGACTAACTAGCTCACTGCCTACTATGTGTGTTCGTAGGATCCCTTATCCAATACCGCCGCATTGCACCATAGTCATCACCTGTCAAACCTTGGAACGCGGACCGGGCTTCGACCAACCAACCAACCCCATCCATCCATCCATCCATCCGTCCGTCCGTCCATCCCCAGTGAACATAGCTCGGAACTTGGTCCGTTGGTTCAACACGAACTTTCTCTACGGAGTACTCCGTACTTGTATTAACTTCATATTGTAAGTTTTCGTCAGCCATCATGAGCCGAGACCCCGGACGGTATCGTACGCACCCTTGACCACTTCCCCTCTCCCCCCTAGCTCCCTCAACACCATCAACACCGTGCAACCTATCAGGGAACAGAGTGGCCTTCTCCACAAATGTTGACGACTGGTCCATTTGCCCTTCGCGCAGCCGCAAACCACGCCACCAAGGGGATTCACTCTGTTGTTGGTCAGGTCCATCGTCACGTTCGGCACCATCTCGCCTTGAATAGTCAGGAACTCAACCTGGTAGCTCGACAATGTGCGAAGCTTCGGTCATCTCATTTGAAGGCGACCCTGTTAAGCCTGTGTGCTGGCCTCAGACCAGGTAATCTTGACTCCTTCTAATGGCCCGATCCTTCCCAAACTACCGGTAGTTAGCGTCCAGACCGTCTTTTCCACCACTCAATCACTTCCCGCTTGACTCTCCTTCGTCACATGCGGCACAAATCACAGAGCCACATCACCATCCGGCGCTTACAGCCCAAGCTGCCAAGCTGTCCACCCGTTGAGCTGCAGGAACATGCCTCGTCTTTCGTTGGTTTCTTGTAGAAAAGTGATCTAGGGAAAGCAGCTCATTGCCGCTTTAGGTATAACTCAATGCAATCCTTGCCTCGATGGGAAGTCGGCTTCGACCAACCGCAGGTGAGGTACGGATCGTTTTTGGTGAAGACGAAGTCATGAATGCACGTTGGTGACGAGTGATCATGGCTGCATGGATGTTGGCTGATGTGAATCAGTAAAGTGCGCGATATTGGCTTATGCGAATCATTACACTGCTCAATGTATGGTTAATCTGACATCTTTCGTGTGCATCGAACTCATTTGGTTCGCCTTACAAAAAGCCTGTCTCGCCCACAACCAATGTGTCTTGTAGATGTGTGGCATATCACCTCAAAGTATCATCCATCTTCAAATACAGTACACCCACACCGAGGCACACTTATCAAAGACATACAAAAATGATGGTCTATCATCTCTTCGCTCTCCTGCCCGTCGCGGCAGCTGTAGCCCTACCTCGTGCCCAAATTTCTACGGCCGGGTTTGTCCCTCCCAACATGTGCTGCTTCACCCTCCACGATTCCTCCTCTGGTCAAATTGTGAAGCAGACAAAGGAGGACGGCTACCTCACGCTCGCTGGCGACAACCCCGACGGATGGTATTGCACTAACATCTCCGACCAGAAAAATATAATCTGGGATATTTCCAACAGTGCTTGCTTCATCAACCCTGATAAGGCGTTGCAGTGTCTTGACCCAATTCCAGGGAACGATGCGTTCAATTTACAGCACTCCGGAGAAGGCGTCCTAGTTGCTGTGAATGGCAGGACGGACTTTAATGTCTGCGGGGATAGGATTTTCAATACTGATAAAAGTGGTTGCCGGGCGGTGAAGCTGAAAGCATCAGGACTACAAGGCACTTGTGGGAACGTCATGGGTTGATCAATAGGGACATTTGGATGCAGTTGATTGCGAGACGTGGCTATGGATGGTTCTCTCGGTTTAGAGTTGATGATGCCAAGTGCTTATGCTTAACGTGCTCTGACAAGCTCTCTACTTGACACGCAAATAAACACACATATATGAATCCATATTCAGTGAAACATCGCGCCGAATAATAATTGCAAAGTAGTCCTTCTTCCCAAGATTTAGACCAGGGCATGTTCCCAGAAACTGTTAAGCGCAATTTAACAATCACAATTTTGCACCCACTTCATCCCCCGCAACACCATACACAATGCCCAAGTCCCTCCTCAGCTCATCCTTCATGCCCCCCTTCTTCCTCTTCACCACCTCACCCTTGTCCTCCAAGAACCTCACAAAAATCTCCCAGGCCGCCACATTTCCGTCACTCCCGGTATCCACATAGAGCAACAGCCCGGCAATGATATCCCCCGCCGCCCACACCACTTCTCTCGCCTCGCCCATCAGCTCCGCCTGAGACGTGCTCTCCAGGCGATATTTCAAAGCGCTCCACTTCCCCAAGGGATCCCAACCGCCCGGCTTGTCGACTCTCCCCTTGAAGCCGCTCGCCTTCTTGACAAACTCATCCATGGCCGCGATGCTATCTGCCCCTCCGCGGGGGTGCTTCAGAGCTCTAATCAGATCCGTGCACAGGACATCCGTTGTTCCCTCCCAGATGGGCAGGACGCATGTATCGCGGAAGATTCTCGAAATGTTGAGGTACTCCTGCTCTTCGTTGTACAGGTAGCCTACTCCACCGAGAGATTCCATGCAGGAGAAGAGCAAGGAGACACTGGGCTTGCAGACATATGCCTTGGCGAGCTGTGTCATGACGCGGAGGAGAGGCTCGACAAGTCTTTTTTGCGGGGTGAGCACCTCCAACACAGGTGATTTTCGAGTGTTGCCGGGATGTTCAGACACGCCGAGGATGTAGGACGTGAAAAAGGTTAGGAGCATGAGGCGGCGATACTCGGCTGACAGGTTTGCCAAGGTCCTCATGTGTAAGGGGCTGTCGATCAGTCTCATTCTTGCTCTGTTTCCAGCGCCGACCTCACGAACGAGTGCGTATGCTCGTGCGATGGCTAGACCTCGGCCGACGCCGCCTACTGCCGCAACGGCCGAGTGTACTCTTGTTAGAGTCAGGACGGTGCTGATTTCGTGGATGCCGCGTCCTTCTTGGCCAATCATCCAGCCGCGCATGTTCTCGAGGACCAGCTCCGCCGTGGGGAGAGACTGCGTGCCAAACTTGTTTTTGAGGCGTTGGATGCGTACGCCGTTGAGGGAACGTCCGTTTTCTGTAGGTTCGCCCGTGAGAGTCCTGGCGTCGGGGTCGTGCTTGCGCATGGGAGCGAGGAATGTGCTGAGACCGCCGGCCGAGGTGCGAGCCAGGAGAACAGACATTTCCGAGTCGGTTGCACTGGAGAACCATTTGAAGCCGTTGATGCTCCATGGTCCCAGGGCCACTTGGTCCTCTTTCGAGGCGATTCCCTTGGGCGCATCGGGCTGGTAAGTGGCAGTGGTTTCGGTGAGAGACACATCGCTCCCGCCGGTTCGTTCAGTCATCCACTGCCCGCTTGTCCAGGCATAACCTGGCTGGCGGGATGTAAGTCGTTTATAAGCACACTCGAAAGCCTTTTTCTCGTCAGCTGAAAGCGCAGCGCTCAACTTGGGGTTCGCGAGGTGCCGTCTCAGCAAGCAGGCAGCTCCATCCTGCATGGCAGACGGACAGCCAACGTTTGCGCCTGATCCAGTCCATAAGTGCGTTCTGAGGAACTGGAGAGGACGGGAATATGCGCCGTAGGGAGTGTCATAGCCAGTGGCGACCATTCTGTCCCGTCACGTCAGCGTCATTTTCTTCGTTCTATTACTTTTCTCGGGAACACATCTGTGACAAAGTTTTGGCAGTGATGTGTGTGTCTTACCCCTTAGACAGACCAAAGTCCTGCAAATTGCGCCATCCTTCGCCTGTTATGAGCTCGCCTGTCCACTGGCCAAATGCGCCACGTCCAGAGCCTTTCAGATAGGGCTTGTTGTGCTCCGCATCTGTGACCCATCTGAATACTTGATCAGAGATGACGTCCCGCCCAAGGGAGGCAACTTCTGGCTCAGCACGGGAAATCACGTCCTGGGAGAGGAATACTATTATCCGTCCGACCCGTATGTTAGTTCCTTGTATGAGATGTCCCCGGGGGCTCACCGGGGCGTTGCAGCAACCCACTTACACTTGAAGCATCTCTTGAACGACTCATCGTCCAGCGCCTGGTTCTTCAAAACAGGGGCTTTCTGAAAGAAGCCTTTATCAGCACCAGACGGCTCCATGATGTGTATCTTTTAAAAAAGCATTTGCCACTGTGTGTGACACACATACACACAAGACGGGACAAGCATGATTCTAATATACCAGCAGCTTAGTTAACTACCTACCTACCTGCCTACCTCCCTTCTACCTAGTACTCTCTGCATGGCGAGGTCACAGGGGCGGAGGTCGTTCCGCGGCTCTGTCAAAAGTGGCGTCTGGAGAAGAAGGGTGAAGGCCGAGGCAAACATGGTAACGAGGGGTGGGCACCTAGGTAAAATAAACCTTCAGCGGACTACGGAACCCGACAGACTAACTACTCCGTAGACGAGATGTGTTTGGACCTTTGTATGTGGAGTAGAATCGGCTAGCAGGAGGGGAGAGAGCGGCATTGACGTCGTACGTATTACTAGAGACTTATCGAGGGTTACCTATGTGCTGCCCCCCCTGCAACGGTTATGACGGATCGCTGAATGAATGCAAGATCTAGGAGCATGTGAGGTTAATTGCAAGGGGTGCGGTGGTATTCCGGTGTCATGCAATGTGGGCGGAATTAAGCACCAAGTCGATGGGGTGTGTTCGTCTGGTGGCTGCATCTGCAGGAAGTTGGAGGCTTGATCAATTAGAGTAGCTAGCAATATCTGCCGTCTTTGTACGGAGTAAACGTTTCGGTTAATTCCTGTCAGTCTTTTCAGCTTCGCCTATGAAATGAACAACGAAATGTTGAAACGCGCAATGCAATTGTCTCTCGCATCACATGACCTGTTCCACGCAACTCCGTTGGAGCATTGACCCGGTGTCAAGTAGACAAGCATTATCTATCCAATCAAAGCTCCGTCAGGCACATAACCCAGCTCCACTATCTCGCATCCACCTATTTAGTATCCTTTATTTCACCGACCCCTCAACGTACAAAGCTGCAGTCGTCTAGTGGTAAGGACATCAGTTTGTGGTTCAGTGAAATCACTGAAAACGGAGGTTCGATTCCTCCCTGTGGCACGTTATTTTTTCGCTCTCTGTTACAACGGATCGGCGAAGCAGCGCCCGTATTGTATCGCCATAGTCGTCTAGTGGTAAGGACATCAGTTTGTGGGAGCAGCAAAGCACTGGAAACCGAGGTTCGATTCCTCGCTGTGGCAGGTTAATTCCTTTTTTTTTTTTTGGTGGATGCAGTCATCAACAAGTAGTTGTAAATTCTTGGAGCCCGTCTGGGTGCAGGAATTGGGTGAGTGAGTGAAGCTGCAATCCGTGCTCTCTACGTTGGGCTGGGACGTGTTGTAGAATCAGGAGAGTGTGCATACCGAAGAAAGGGTCCGATTCTTGGAGCAAACGCATACAGATTTTGGAGCGCGACATCAAGCTATCCTGCACATGCGAGTGTGGATTGCATGCACACACTGCATGCACGATAGGCAGCTAATTTAACGCAGTAGAGTTGCAATCTACTCCATGGACGAGCGATCCAATCGGAGAACAAGTTCTGACGTTTGGTTTGATTTCACTAGTTGGATCGACGCTGCCGGATGAACCGGTATAGTGGTACGGAGTGAAGGAATGGCTGTGCAGTTGGCAGAGAACGAACGCACAATACGCACATTGCGTCAAACCAGATAGATACTCACTTTCAGCGACCATGTGGTCTGCAGATCGGCAACCGCCAATACCGTTGGAGGCACAAAATTTCTGCCTATCTCCAGGTATCTTTTTCGCCGGCAGGTAAGTAAAAACCTTATGCCGCAGATTGTAGCTGTTGACGCCTCCTGGCTCAGCCGCACGGGCAGAGTCCACAGCAGATGGGCATGTGTTTCCGCTTGGACGGACATTGAGCACCACGCGCGCCATTGCCGTTCCCATTAAGTGATGCGCAGTAATAAATTGTAATATTCCGGGGATGCATGAGCAGCTGCATGCCTACTACAGTTATCAGGCTTGTTGGCCGCGATAAAGGGAGCACAGTACTCCGTACAGCACAGAGCAAGGGGGTGGTCACAGCACTAGTTAATAATGGCCGTCTGCTCAGAGCCCCCAAGTTCTCCGAGTAGTTACGGAGTACTCCGTAGATTATGTGCAAATTAATTGAAATGGCCGGCTCACATCACCTGCACCATGAATGAATCGCGCTGTGGCCGAGACACATTAACTACTAGTAGTCCATCGTGAGGTGCTGAGGTCTGGAACAGAAGCTGGGGAGCCTGACTCGAAGGCCTGTAGAGCTGGGGAGGGTGTGCGATTCACAAGTTGGTGGACGGGTCGAGGCTCCCACGATGAGAGTCGAAGTGTGCTGTTTGCTGCAAGCAATTAACTATATAGCTGACAGACTCCGTATAGGGTATTTTGTTTCCCGTCCATTTCTGGGCTTGTACGGAGTACGAGGATGTGTATCAGAACACTCCGAGGTCACTTGTCAGTCGCGAAATTGCGTTCAACATCCCCCCCCCTCCTATATGCAGTCGGGGTCCCCAGATGGATGGATTGCGTGCCGGGACAGGTTGAGAGACATGAAATGCGTAGTTGCTCTGTTGACGGAAGGTGTTTCTGGCAGGCCGGTGATGATTGTCCAGGCACGGAGTACGGAGTACAGAATGCTCTCTTCGTTGTCAACTTCAACGGTGCGCGCAACTGCAGCATTACGTAACATGCCAAAGCTTTGCTCCGTACTCAGCAGAGTCTGCGGAGTACGGACTATCGTAACGGCTTATACCAAAGCGACATTAAATTCCACAATTCTACACCGCCAACGCACTTGGCTTCATATTCAATAACAGTACGGAGTATTCAAGGGACTCATCAAGCAGCTGCCGATCAATATGGCAGGACAATGCTGTGTGCACTACCACCGTTTCCTTCGCTTAGCATCCAGTTTCCGGGTTGTGGTGGTGCTATAACTAACTAAAGAGATACGTCGTTTTCCCCGCTAGTAACGGCCTTGACGTTCCGTTGCTTGGCTCTCGGCGGGCACAGTCCTACAACAGGTAGTATTCCCCCTTCACACGATGCGTCACGAAGTAACCTGCGAGCGGTATTGGTATTCCCGGAGAGAATGAGCCCTCGGTACCAGTGCTCCATGAACCGCCGGAGCTTTGCGCGGCAAAAGTAAAATCTCTCGCTCGGGCTGCTGTTAGCTGCCAGCGTTGATGAGCTGCCGATTGGAGGAGAGAGAAGACGCTTTGCCACCACGGCATGTTTGCACCCTTGTTTCCTCACACCTAATGAAGCTATCTTCTCGACAAATACCATCGCGTCTGCGCTGTCAACACTCGCCAGCGTGGCATGCCTTTGCACTTACAATACGGAACGGCCGCATTCAGGCTCTGACCCGTCCGCTTCCAAGCCCAACATGAGGTTGATGGGGGGGGGTGAAGGGCAGCAGGAGCAGCAAGAACAGCAAGAACAGCAAGAAGACGCCAACGCGGCTACAGCGCCAGTAACTTGCTAAGCCAACCAAGAAAATTGAACCCCGACCAGTAGTTACGGTGAATCTCACCATTTCTGCTACAAAAGGTGACACCAAAGTATAGTTAGTTAATGCTGCCCCGGCCCTTGGGCCGTTGATGGGTGACCGCCACTGGCGCCGGGGGGTTAGGCTGTCCAGCCAACCTCGTCCAGCCGTGGATTCAATCCCGAACTGCCACCTATGGGTCTGCTCCTGCGACTTTCGAAATAGAGTACCGAGTACTCCGTACTCCGTAAGAAGAGGCCCATCGGTCGATGTCTCTTCTTTTACGCCAGACATACGCAAATGCTCGCGTAACACATGCCGTGATAGTGGCAGGCCGACCCTCTAGCTCCTTGGTCTCAGCCCGTCAGCGTCCGCGCAAACAAAACCAGGTGTCTCACTCTCAGATCACCGAGGGCGAAACAGAAGGCGTCTTTTGGCGCCATTCTGCTGAAGTTGGCTGGGACGACCCAGACCAGGCCAGGTCAGGCCAGACAAGGACAGACGGGCGTCGACGGCAGTGGTTCAGCGTCAAAGGCCAGCGTCAAAGGCTTGAGCCAAAGGCACACACCCCTGGGAATCCAAGACACCGGAGACAGACCCCCAAGATCCCAAGACGAGCTCCATCTGCCCCAGTCTGATGGTCTAGCGTGACCTGGAAGCCCCGGCGCCACAACGTCACCGGCAGACACATTGACTGTCACCGCTTTCGGAGGTCCCTGCCTGCTTGACTCTGTCGTTGCCGGTCCGGAGAGCCAATTCTGCATCCCCACGCGGCCGGATTTCTAATTGAACGGTGAACCCGTACACCCAACCGCCCTTATCATGTGTTCTTGGAAGAGCGGGACTCGAGACCCTTTGTGAGCCCCAACAAGGGGAAATCTGGGTAAAGAACTGGCAAAAGCATGCTGTTTGTCGCGATTGCTTTTTCTCGTAATTGCCTGGCTACTCCCTACTCGTAGTTTGGCCAATCCCCCCCTCACCGCAGTTGGCCGTCTGAAAATGCATCGTTCTTTCTTTGCCTAACTCTACTTCTAATACGCAGTTTTCCGTCCTGGCAAAGAAATCTACCAACTAGGCTGTCCTATGTTGCAATCGTCTCTTTGCTTCTCTATGATTCGAGACATGGCTACCTTGCCTTCTTTTTGTCTGGCCGTCTATCCAAGTGGTCGCCGAAGCCTGGTTCGCCTACCCCGTACTCTATGCTCCATACGGAGTACTCTGTAGTAGTAGTTGCAATACAACTCGACTCAACGCCATGCCGATAACTCCTAGCCCTTATTTTGAAGGATCTGCAAGATTACCACCACTTTCCGCGACGGGGCCATGCGATATCTTGCGGGCCAGCCGCCCATCCCCGGCCTCGAAGTCAAGGCTTTGACACCGGCTCTGGCTCTGGCACTGGCTCTGGCTCTGGCTGGTCACGGCAGGCGATTTCTGCATAATGCCATCCGCCTCGTTAATCCAACAAGGCAGGCATGCTGAGAAGCAGCAAGCAACAAGGTCGCGGCGGGACGCAAACCAGCCGATCCGGCATCTCCACCAACAATGTGGAACCACGCTTTTGTGCCCGGGGGGGGGGGCGTGCGCCTCGAGTGGGAATAGGCAAAGAGATTGTGCATGCGGCCTGAATCATCGCCGCCCACTTCTAGTACTTTCTCTTCGCCGTCCCTATAAAGCAGCGCCATCCGCATGACGCATGTCACCATCAGCCTGGCCGTGATCCTCTCCCTTTTGCCATATTTTTTTACGGAACGTTGACTCCCACTTTGCGTTGGCCCTTTCTTGTCTCTCGAGCAAGTGATTTGGTCTCTTAATTGTCTACTCTACGCTCGTTTTGAGTATCTTATCGCCATCTGCACCGCTCCTCCTCGCAGCCGAACGAACGCTCCCTGTCCTCGGCTCAGCCTGCGTCACGAATCCAAATCTTTCGCTTCGCAGATCAAGCAGCGACAACACGGTCATCATGGCCCCCAAGAAGCTCAAATGCAGTGCCAAGGAATGCCGGGAGCAACTCTCGCCCTTTCCCGTGCTCTGTAGCTTCTGCCACGGCCGCTTCTGCAACAAGCACCGCATGTTGGAAGACCATCAATGCCCCGAGCTTGAGGACGTAAGTCAACAACTCCAGGACCGATCCACTCTGCAAGACTGGCTTGCTAACTTGTTTGCTTCCTTTCCACCAGTGCAAGAAGCAGGAACACGAGCGCAACGCTGCAAAACTGGAAGCGGAGCGAACGCCCGTTATTCGTGGTGTCTAGATGGGGCGGCAGCACCTGATTGATTGCATGCCCGCAGCTGCAGCTGCACCGATAGGCCCCCGGTCCGGCCGTAGCGACAAAAACCCGTCCACCGGTCCACACCGGGCGTCCGTAAACGAACTCATGCACATTTTCTATCAACGAAAATATGACTACACGATCTTCTCCTTTTTTTCTCTTTTTCTTTCTTGTTTTCAGACTCCTACTTCTGAGCGATTCTCTGTTGGTGGCATGACTTTTCAGTGGTTAAAGGCGAGGCGTAAACGGCCACAGTTGTACTCTATCTATGGAGATCCCAGCGGGACAGAAGTTGGACTAGTCGCACGGCGTAACGGGCTCCATGTAATTTACTTTTTTTTCTTCTTCTTCTTTTGTTGCCATGCGTGGGACTTGCTTTACATTACCACACCTCAAGTTAAAGAAATTGAGTTTTCTGATGCATTCT